TAAAGTGAGGATAAACTGTTTCACAGCCTTGTTATGAGGAACAAATGAGAGCTTGCATGTAAAGTGATTTGCAAACCTCAAAGCAGTTCCCTCCTCATCAGAACACAGGATTCTTGAGAACCAAAATTGGGCTACATTTTTATCCTTGTACCTCCAGTATCCAGCATAGTCGTTTTCACATAGGGATAGGGACTGGATTTGGGATTTCATTGATCTAGGGAACTCCCAAAATGAGGAAACTCTCTAGCAATGCCAGTTGGTTGTTGTTGCTTATCTTTCATTTTCCAAGAGTACCATCGTGATGTCTTGACTTGCTTGTGAATTGGATTTGAGTGAGGCAGAGTTGCACAAAGTTGTCAGTCTCACTCTCTCTTCCTGAGTCATTGGAAGAACAGTAGGAGGCCAAAGTCAGAATGACTGGCAATGACTGGCTCCTTTAGAGGGTGCCTAGGTTCACACAGCCCAAGGCAGGTCTCAAACAGCAGGTTTTCCTGATAATACTAGCTCTGACTCTCTAATCACTACAGTGCTTGTGTGTGTGTGTGTGTGTGTGTGTGTGTGTGTGTGTCTGTGTGTGTGTGTATGAGGTTTATTGGCCTTTCACATGGTAGGTATTTAATAAATATAAACCTGAATTGAATTTCCCAAAGGGGAAATTATTGGACAACAAAAATCCTCAATCAAAGTGCAATAAAATATCATCTTCATGGAGTCATCACCCTCCACCTCCTTGATTCCATTCCTTCTCCTCCCACTTTTTTGATATGGCCTCTAAAGGAGAAGCAGTTGTAGTGTGACCTTGTTCCCAAGATGTCAGCTGCAGCACACACAAAAATATGTTTACAGCTTACTCACTCTTGCTTTTCCCCCTGGAAAGAACCCAAACTGTTCTCTAACCACTGAGGTCATGCCGTATGGTGTGTAATTAGACTCCTGCTCTTGGCCAAGATATTAAATTCTCTCTATATTTTATGTGTGAGGCTCACCGTGACATTTACTCACTGTGACAGAAGGGGTCATATCCCCCCATCATCTCAGAATTCAGAGAAAGTAATAATTTTTAAGCCCTATGTAGGGGCTAGAGCTGTAATGAAGCTAAATTACATTATCTTCCTCTATATGAAAATATCAATCATGGGTTGCTAAGGCACCAGTGAACAACATGAAATGATGCAGTCCACCCAGACCTTAGGGGAACTTCTTAAAGTAATAAACTCACAAGCCTTTCCCAAAACATCAGAAAGAAGACCTGAAGGTCTGTCTTCCTGCTGTTGACCACAGTACAAATGTGCTTCATGCGCCTAGCCCACTAGGAAAGCAGTGTATATTCAAAGATGGCAGCTACCTTGGAGAATCCTTTTCCATTTCCATCCTGCCAATTATTCCATTTCTAATTTTCATACCCATATCTATCCAAAGTTTTCACACTTTAGGAAAGTCTAGGCAAAAATCCCACCCTTATTAGCATTATACAACCTTTGGGGTTTGAACCCAGGTCTTCTCTCTGGAGAGCTAAACTTATTCCATTGTACCAAGCTGAAGGGTAGAGGGAAAAAATTCTATAGGGTTAGAGTATGAACAAAGGGTAGAGAGATAAGGAGAAGGGTGTGTTTGTATGTATGTATGACACAAAGATGAATTTCAATTTTTTAACAGCTTTGCCTAAGGCTAATCCCTTGTGCCCACTGGACTTCTAGTTATGCCCACTAAGAACTATTTCTTTTGTGGTTCTTGCTGCTTCCTTCCTCTTGTTGACATGGAGAGGAGAGGGCTGGGAGTGATGTTACCACTGATATTCACCATGGACATAAACAGATCCTTGCTAGCAAAAGGAAAACCAATCATTTAAAAAAATTAATACACTTTATTTTTTTAACCCAATTACAAGCTAAACAATTTTTTTTGACATTTGGGTTTTTTTTTTTTAAGTTTTGAGTTCCAAATTCTATCCCTCCCTTCCTCCTCCCTCCCTGAAACAGGAAGCAATCAGATATAGGTTATACATGTGCAATCACGTAAAACATTTCCTTTTTAGTCACTTTATATAAGACTTGAAATTAAGAAAAAGAATGAAAGAAAGTGAAAAATAACATGCTTCAGTCTGTATTCAAACAATCATTTCTTTCTCTGGTGGTGGATAGCATGCTTCATCATTAGTCCTTTGGGATCGTCTTGGATCATTGTATTGCTGAGAATAGCCAAGTTATTCATAGTTCTTCATCGAACAATATTGCTGTTACTGTATATAATGTTTTCCTGATTCTGTTTACTTCACTTTGCATCAGTTCATGTAAGTCTTTCCAGGTTTTTCTGAAATCATCCTGCTTGTCACTTCTTATAGCACAATAATATTCCATCACAATCACATACCACAGCTTGTTTAGTCATTCCCCAGTTGATGGTCATCCCTTTGATTTCTAGTTCTTAGACACAACAAAAAGAGCTGCTATTAATATTTCTGTAGTGACCCTGGGCAAGTCACTTAACTCTGATTGCCTCACCCCCCCCAAAAAAATAAAAATAAATATTTTTGTACAAATAGGTTCCCCCCCCTTTTATGTCTTCAGGTTATAGACTTAGCAGTGGTATTGCTGGATCAAGCACAGTTTTATAGCCCTTTGGGCAGAGAGGAAAACCAATCGTTATGGTTGTCTGATGCAGTAACTACCTGAAGAGAGTGAGAAGTGTTCAAAAGCATAAGTGGGGAGGTGAGGTGTCATGAAGAGTCACCTCTCTCATGTTAGGCATGCTCATCCCCTCCTTCCCCAGGCTTACCATTCTCTTTCTGTGTGCTTGGCCACAGCCTGAAGCCCAGCCATGCCCCAATTAGAAGGACAGGCCTGCATAAATATGAGGCTCTCCCTAATGAGAACTGAACTAGACTCTGAGGAGGAAACAGATGGAATCATAATTCCAAGGAATAATACACAGGCACCTTCAGTTGAGAAATCATACAGTAAAGGTTTGGGGTAGTGGTTCTTAATCTTGTCTGGTGAAACCTATGATCCTCAAAATGATATTTTCAATTGCATAAAATAGAAATTTAAAGCAATATGAAAAAAAGTGATTGTAAGTGAAACATATTTATCAATTAAAAAAAAAGTTCATGGATCCCAGGTTAAGAGGAAAAAAAATGAGCACTAGGTGGCTGCTAACTCCCCGTTTAGGGGTACTGAGTCAGTTATCGTTGATCTTACAAATAACAATTCAGAAGTATGCTGTCTTCTCAGGGTATCTGAGCAGGATGTGACAGGGCTTCCCAGGGCTTGTCAAGCCTGATGACTAATACCAACTTTTGGTGAGTCACTCTTGATTACACTGCCAGAAGAAATCTAGAAAACATAGTTAAAGATTATGAAGTCTTAGGCAAAAAGACTAAAGGTCTTAGGGGCACAGGTGGTATTTTCATTACAGTTGCTATTCAAACACAAATGTTTCAAAAGTGAAAGGCAGATTTGAGAAGCAGTTGGTTAAGAAAATGGCATCTTTGAACTTAATTTGGATTTCTGGACCAGGAACTAAAATATGTGCATGGCAGAGTCTTGTCAAGGATAGCATGCACCTAATAAGGGCAGGTAAAAGTGTGTTTGCCTTGGAGCCTCACAAATCTAATCAAAAAAGTTAACTGAAAAAGATTGAAGGAGAATCACATTTGCATATCAACTAATCTAGCTACCTTAAGAGAGTCACCAAATGGTTGAAAGAAGAGCAATAAAGATGCCTAGAAATTCACGAGATAAAATTCTAGAAAAGAGCTAGAGATAAAACTGGACTCCAAGGGATAATGCTGATGACTTACTTTGGCAATGTTCTTTAGTAAATGGTGATGGGAATCTAAAACGATAATATATATAGGTGAGGACCCACATAATGCCACAAATGCCCTTCCAGACTTGGTTCTAGTCATTGGCTTCTTTCTATTTCTTGAAAAGGACACTCCATATCCAGATCCCATACATTTTCACTGGTTTGTCTGCCCCTAGGCCTGGTTATATTCTTCTTTCTCATTTCTACTTCCTGACTTCCCTGGCTTTCTTCAAGACAGCTCAAAATCTTCCTTTTGCCAGAGGTTTTTCTCAGTTCTCCTCTCGCACCCCACCCTACTCCACTGCTAGTACCTTTCCTCCAGATTTCCTCCAATTTATCCTAGAGATCTTGTATGTACAGGGTTGTTTGTATGTTGTCTCTGTCATTAGAATGGGAGCTCCTTGAGGGCAGGCACTTTTTTTTTGCCTTTCTTTATAGTCCCAGGGCTTACAAAATACCCAACACATAGTAGGCTTTTAATTAATGCTTGTTCACTTGACTTGAGTCCCAACTTTGCTTCTAACCAGCTGTGTGACCTAGGGCAAGTCATTTTTCTATGAACCTGTTTTCTTATCAGTAAAATAAAAGGGTGAAGGAGGGGTATGTGTGGGGGGTGGAATAGATAGCTCCTTCTAAAATTCTGTGATGCTTTGAGGTTAGGGAATGAGAGTATCAGGAAAATGTAGAGCTGGGCAGTAGGACAAATTATGCCAACAAATATTGTCTTTTCCATAGGGAACCAACAAATGGAAGAATATCCAGAATGTATTTTAGATAGATGGATAGATAGTATTTTATATATATAACGCATGTGTTGCTGACGCTCCATGACTTCTTTTTGAGGTTTTCTTGGCGAAGATACTGGGGTAGATTGCCTTTTCCTTCTCCAGCTCATTTTACAGCTAAGGAAACTGAAGCAAACAGGATTAAATAGCTTGCCCAGGGTTACCCAGCTAGTAAATGTCTGAGGTCACATTTGAGCTCGGGTTTTTCTGACTCCAAGTCCAGTACTCTATCCAGCTGCCCCTATATGTAACATATATGTATGTATATATATGTATGTATGTGTATAGTATATATATGCATGTGTTTATATATGTGTATATATACCTAATTGATTTCTCTTGAAATACATCTATCAGTTGTCCTTGAAAGGAAATCTAATGAAGAGGATGTTGCTTTGTTTCTTTTAGAGGCAGACTTCCCCATCACCCTCCAGCCCACCTGTGCAAATGAGAAAACCCAACTAATCAGAGAAGCCCGCAGCTATACCACAGACTCCTAGATATCCAGCTCGCTCAGGTCCATGGGTCCTTCTGGAAGCAACAGCAGTGTGCCTGGCAAGTGGAGCGATTCTTGAAGGAAAGAGCCCCAACAATGTTGCGAAACCCCAGGAATCCCTTTCTCATTTATGCTTTATTTTGAGGTTAGGCACAGGTGGTTGCAATGTAATTTTCTGAGCATGCAGACTCTCTTTGAGTAGACTTGCTAATGAAACAGATTCAATTAGACAAAGGCTTACAGAGTGTACCTTGTTCCCCCCTCACCCCTACTCCTCCGCCGAGACACTATTGGGGCCTAGAAGGTTTGAAGGACCAGTGTGCCCTTACTGAATCAAACTTCTGCCAGCTCCAAGTCTAAAACCAGGAGTCAGTGAGGGGCATATCTATCTCTTTTTTCCTCTAATAACTAAAAGCAGTCACAAGAACAGCCACTGATATTAAAAGAAAACGTTTAGGGGAGAATTTAAGAAAAATTTGTCAACAGAGGCCATTCTCTCATGACCCCTTGCTGCCAGAGGGATTTCCCAACTCACTCCCAGTGGGTTTGGGTTGCAAGGTGTTAATGACATCATTGCAGATTGTTGTTGGGGATGGGGCACCTGAGGCTTGTACACAAAGAACAGGTAGCTGGCAGGTAGCTGGCTTTCACTGACTTTCCAGCAGCAGAAGAATAGGATAAATGTGAGGCTAAAGGGCATCTCATCACAAAGCATCCTCTTAAAGTATCATTTGAAAGGTCTAAATCACCATTTCAAAAATTGGGACTTGCATTTGCTCCTTGATTTCTCCCCTCTCTCCCTCCTAACTCCCTCCACTTACTTACTTTGCCGCATTAGACCTTACATTAAGTTGGGTCAATTATTTTGAGCTGTGACTTACATTTTGCTGTAAAGTTATTACCTGCCACTGACCATGCTGCAGGGGCTTTGCAGTTTTAGATTACCTGGACTAGAAACAAGGAAAGACATGCCAGAGATATACAGAGGCTTAAGGACACAGGCAGAGACAGAAATGCTTACTTTCAGGCCCTAAATTTCACAAACTTCTTTTCCTGGTTTGTTTTGGAACTGGTTTCATTTTGAAGAAAGAAAGAAAAGCTCAGCGATACACATTAGGGGAGAGAGTATCTATCTTAGGGAGTGAAGTTCTGTCCATTTTCTGATTCAATTACTTCATTCATATTTCAGCAGGAGAGGTGGGAGGGAAGTAATGAGTAGAGGACAAAAATAATCTCCAAAATTGTACAGGAGTAAAAATGAATTGTTTTAAAAGGGTTTAATTGTTTTTCTCTCAAAAAAATTATTCCTTTAAACATTAAATATCTCTCTTGTTATCATTTCTTATTTACCACTTGGAACTACATTCAATTGCTAAATACACATTTTTATGTTTTTAGGCTCATAAGATCCTGGGAAATGTTTTAGCTTCAGTAAAGTACATAATAGAAAGGGCCCTTCGTTTTTGGGAGTCGGAAGACCTGGGATTTAGACCCAACCCTGCCCACTTGTAGGATCTAGTGAGGATTTGATAATAGATAAGATAGCAACAGCTCACATTTATATGGTGCTTTGCAGTTTACAAAGCAATGTTAACAATTATCCAGCTAGGCAAGGCAAACATGATTTTTACCATTTTATAGATGAGAAAACTGGCCCTGGGAAACTAATTGACTTGTCTAAGGTCAAATAGTTATTAAGTGGCTGAGCCAAAACGCCAATCCATCTGCCTTTCTGTCAAAATTCACTGCGGTCTTTCTGGTGCTTGAGAAAATTAATGATGTTATCTAAGCACAACATATCATTTTATGATTATGTATATGTAGCTACTATTTGCAAATGTAATATGATTTTATAAGCACACACCCTTTGTATAACATGGAATCTACTTGGAAAAACACAAAAATCTCTTAAAAGCACTCCCTTGAATTACACTGCTTTCACAACTCCAGTGAGTGCTGAGCACAAAGTAGTGTGAGTCCATCATTAATACAACTCACTGCTGACCTTTCTTGTGAGTAAACATGTGGCTAGTACACTGCCTAATCCAGGGGTAATTTCAGCTACCACATAACCCTTCCACACAGTCCCTAGGGAAAGGGTGAAGGCTAGTTAGCAATTTGGTTATATGTTGCCCCCTGCTGGTAAATGTAACTCAAGCTCTTGAGTTTTCAACCTCATCTGGATTCAGAGGTATCTTTGCTATAGATCACATCTTTCTCTATATTGCGACCCCTGGGCACAGAGCAGAAAGATGGAATAATAGATGGATAGGAAAATTTGGCTCACAAATTGCGATATAAAGGTGGCCATGCTTCCAAGAAGGAGGTAGGCCACGATTTCCACTTATTGACTTTAGGCATTTTTCAGTTGTGCCTGACTCTTTATTATCCATTTGGGATTTTCTTGGCAGAGATACTGGAGTGGTTTGCTATTTCCTTCTCCAGCTCATTTTACAGATGATGAACCTGAGGCAAACAGGGTTAAGGCACTTGTCCAGATCATACAGCTAGTAAGTGTCTGAGGCCGAATTTGAACTCAGGAAGATGAGTTTTCCTGACTCCAGGCCTGGAACTCTATCCACTGTACCACCTAGCTGCCCTAACTTCCACTTAACAAAGGGTTTATTTCTGGTGTTCCATGCAGTCAGTCAATAAACATTAAGCACCTATAATAAATATTAAAACAATAAACATTAAGGCAATGTACTAAGTGCTGGGGATACAAGAAAGGTAAGATAGTTCCTACCCTCAGAGAGCTCATAATCTAATGGAAAAGACAATATATAACTATCTACAAACAAGCTATACACATATTAATTGTAGATAATCACCAGAATTAAGAGGGATCAGGAAAGGCCTCCTGTTGAAGGTAGGACTGTAGCTGGAACTTGAAGGAAGTCCGGGAAGTTGGGAAGCAGAGATGAGAAGGGGAAACAGTCCATGCTTGGGGAACAGCTAGTGAAAATAGCCACAGTAGGGAGATGGAATGCCTCGTGTATTGAGTACTAGGTATGCACATAGAAGACTTCAATACATGTGCAGTTGAATGAACGAATGCATTCCATCAGCTACACAAAGAACTCCCTTCTCACCTGATGAAAGGTCTGAATAGACAAAGGAAAGGGGTCCCTGCTGAAAGTATAAGCAATTTAACAAAATATTACTACAGAGTCATCCCTTTGCCCCAAGCTATGTTAAAAAACAAAAAACAATAAGTACCCTCCCAACTGGCCCATGGTACATGTTCCTGGCTCCGGGGGAACAAGGACAAATAGCTTTAATGTGAGATAGAGATAGAATCTTTTTTTGGCTTAAGTCTTAATTGGTGTTTTGAGAAACAAACTAAGGCAAAACTCCCAGAACACTTTCTTTAAAAATAACAAACAGGTAACATAATTATTTTGGTACAAAGTAATAAAACTCTAAATCCCAAATAGTACAAATGCTAAAATGAAATTTAAAAAATTTAAAGGCACTTAATGTGCCCTGCACTTAAAGTTTGCTTAAGTGGTAATGATCTCCTTGAATTGCTGGCCCACATATAGGCTGCAACTTAAGGCTTTACAACCTCCCTCTAAGCAAACAGGAGAAATCTGCTTATGGAAAGGGGTCTCATTGTGGCTCTGTTGATAACCAAATCTTTGGCCTAAGCCACACACATATCTGAATTTCCACAAAGGTAACAAGAAGGGTATTGGAATAAATTATCTTTTGGGTCCCTCCCAACTCTAAAAATCTGTAATATTCTCAGGCTGACAGGTTGTTAAGATATTGTTTCAGGGTCCAGGAGGTTACTCTGGTTTCTTCTCGGCTCCCACATCTAAAAGAGGAATATATGTATGTATATGTATATATATACATGTGAATACATACGTATTCACATATATACACATACATACATACATACACATGTTCTACTGAAGTTCTTCTATTGCCTTACAGAACTAGTCCAACTCTGGAAGGTTTTGGTGGGTTTATGCAAAAGTAGGGAAGAAGGTAAAGTACTACGCAAAACTTAAATCATTATTTAAATGTGAATTAACATGATTTTGATATTCCTAAATTTGAAGATGGAATTGTAACTCCACTTTTCTTTCCTGTGTGTTCTGCAGGGGCCACAGGCATGTCTGGGAATTCGGCTAGGGTGGAGGTGGGATGAAGGATTTCCCTCTGTTAAATGGTCAAGCTGCTGGCTGAGGGATAATCAATAGAGAGGTGTGGTGGTGGTGATGGTGATGGTCTTGCAATTGGAGGAGGGGGAACAGTAGGAAGGTTGGCAGCACAGCTGAATATTGTAGTGTTAAGCACCTAATTTAAACCCATTTCAAATATTTCTCATCTATGGCCTACTGTGAAGTCCTCTGTATGTTTCAAATATACCTGAATATCTAAAGTTTATTGTTTTTGATGAAGGCTGCTAATAAAGGCTGCCTCTGTGTAAAAACTCTAATTCCTCTCTCTGCCTCTGTACATTTCACTAAGTCCACTCTAGGAATAGCCAAGCAGTCAAATGGCCAGTCTTTGAGACAACAGACCAATTTTCATGCCTGGCTGTGAACTAGGCTGTTCATTTGCTTGAACTATCGGATGAAGTCAGAGAGTTATTCATTAACACATATGAGTAATGCTCAAATAACACCCTTGAATTGTAACATTTAATAACTACTAATTAGTGGTGAGGATGATGATGACAGTGTGAGAAGACTCTTTCCCTCCAGCTTACTAACATCAACCTATTTACCTTAGATTAGATGATGAAATCAGCAAAGTAGATGTCTGACTATTTCCCACAATTTGCCATGAATCCGTTTTGTCTCTTTATCCCCACAAATAATATTTCAGTGAATCCCTGACCTCATCAGTGTAGGTAAATCTACTAATTCATATCACAATCCTGTCACACTTTGTCATGCTAGATGATTCTTATCCATATTTCCCCATAAATGTTCTATAAGAAATTTATTCATTCTGTTAGAAGGTTATCCTTTTGTTCTCTGGTTACAT